TTATTGATCCCTCCTTCCACGACGGCGCCGGGTCCCTCCTTCTTGCACCGATTTGGGCAGCTCCCGCCCTGCGCCAGCGGGTTCGGCGCCGGCTCGGGCAGCCCAGACCCACGTGCCGGGGACGCTCGCCCCTCCTTCCTCGGGGTGGCCGAAGCCGCGGCCCAGGAGCCCAAGCCCACGGCCTGGTCGGTGCCTCCGAGGAGGCAGGTTTCCTTCCAGCCAGGAGAGGCTCAGGAAGCCAAAGCTCCGGGCGAAAGCGCACGGGAATCCCCCATTCTGGGAGAGCCGCGGCTCCACAGCGGGTCCGGCGCAGGAATCGGTGGGAAAGTTGGCAACAGGGCAGCCGTGCAGCCCGCAGGGAGGCGCGGGAGCCGGGCACCCCTCGTGGGGAGCCGGGGCCTCCCCCGCTCACCCGGGCGCCTCTCGGAGCCTCGCACACCCAGCGGGACGGCTCGGCCGCGCCGGGCAGGAACCGGTGCCGGTGCCGCTCCGCGGGGATCTCTTGGCGCCCGCGTCCGTGGTTCACCCCCCGGCCCCAGCTGCGGCGAGTGGCTGATTTTACACCGAGGCCTGGCACGGGCCCGCACCGGGGAGGAACGGCAGCACGAAGGCAAACGCCGGGGGCCCCCGGGGCACCGGGACCCCGCAGACCGAGGGTTGCGCAGGCAGGCAGCCCGTGCCGAGGGAGCTCCGGCTTGAGGAGCAAACCCGCAGCGGCACGCGCCAGCGAGCATCGTGCAAAGCCATCCCGCAGCTCCCGTCACCTGGCGTCCCCCCTTAACGAAACGTTGAGATCTTGCGACCCGGCCAGCTCCGATGGCTCGGGGACGCGAGGGTGTCGGCGAGCTCCCGCAGAGGATGGTGGAGGCCCGGCTCTCCCACACGGCACGTAACGCCTGCCGGTTACAGCGGCCGGACTCGAGGCATCGCACGGCAGAGCCAGTTCACAGCTCTGGTCAAGGGACGGGCTCTGGCCCCGCCGGGCCACACGCCATCCCCCCACGCCTCACCGGTGTCACACCCGCGATAGCACCGACGCGCGCTCAAGGCCACCCCGGCAAAGCTTCCCGTCCTCCCAGGAGGGATCCAGGCTCCGCTCCGGCGCCGAGCCGCCTCTCGCTGCAGGTGCCTGGCACAAATAGCAAGTCCCACGCAGACTCGAGGGATCCAGCCCAGCCCGACGCCCGCGGCCGGGGGTCCGGGGCCGGCACTGCCGCAGGAGATGCCCTGTGGCCACCCCGGCAAAGCTTCCCGTCCTCCCAGGAGGGATCCAGGCTCCGCTCCGGCGCCGAGCCGCCTCTCGCTGCAGGCGCCTGGCACAAATAGCAAGTCCCACGCAGACTCGAGGGATCCAGCCCAGCCCGACGCCCGCGGCCGGGGGTCCGGGGCCGGCACTGCCGCAGGAGATGCCCTGTGGAAGAGCAGCCCGGCGGGTGGCTTCTCAGGGAGCAGCCTAGCATTTATTGATCCGCGCTTCCACGCCGGCGCCGGGGCCCTCCC